AATTGAGTTGCACGTCCAATAAAATGATTTGAACCTGATCACCGTCCAGGTGGTTGGCTGCAGACCTCGTCATAATGTGTTAACCATATCTTTAAAAAAATTGGAATAAAAAAAAATCGAGTCACTTGGGGTGTTTCCAACAACCTGCCAACCACCCATCAACATTTATGTGTTCACTGCCTCTCCTCCAACCCTACTCCCCCCACCCCCCAGCAAAAAATAATATAAAAACCTCTCAAAATCTCCCACTGAGGAGGGGGTGGATTTTAATAGGAGGATGTAAAAGGAGCCCAGGGGGAGGGAGGAGGAGGAGGAGAGAAAGGGGGAGAGGAGAGAAAGATATACTGCACATCAGTTCCCTTAGCGCTGTTTGCTTTTTTTAAAAAAAAATATATAAAAATGGTTACTTTCAACAGCGAAAGAAATAGGCATTTGTCCCAGTCACCGTTAAGAAGTCAAGCAAAGAGAAGAGCGTTTGCATTGATGAGGCTAATAAATGGTTCTGGCGAGGCTCAGCAAGTGATCAATTGCATCTCCAACAGCCACAGCCTATGCCCTGGCAATGTGTTTACAGTCGCTCTGGTATCTGTGTTGGAGTGATCTATTTCACCGACATGAGGTTGGCTTTCGGTTTGCACACACCCACACATTATGTATATTTGTTAAGTGTACACACATATACAGTATATATATTTATAAAGTTATATATATCATACACACACACAATATATATATTTAAGTGTACACACATATACAGTATATAAATATTTATGAAGTTATATATATTATACACACACAATATATATATATTATACACACACAATATATATATATTTAAGTGTACACACATATACTATATATATATATGTATGAAGTTGTATATATATTAAACACACACATTATATATATTTAAGTGTACACACATATACTATATATATTTATGAAGTTATATATATATTACACACACACTATATATATTTAAGTGTACACACATATACTATATATATTTATGAAGTTATATATATATATATATTATATACACACAGAGATATATCAGCTGAGTGTTTATGGTCTTAATTTATCGCTGCTCATTTGTGAAGGTCAATGATTTGGAATTGGTCCCCTGGAACACATCCATCATCAACTCTCCCGGTTGGGTTAAAGGGGGTTGAATTGTCAACTGCTTTTGACAAACCTCTCTGCCCTGTGCTGTGCTGTGCTGCCCAACACAAGATTGAATGAATCTTTTTGCAAGAGCAAAAAAAAATCCACCCGACAATGAAAGTCCACGCCTCCTCTTGGCTCCCTGTGTTGTGTCCTTGAAGGACGTGTACTGACTGAGTGGCAAATTTGGCCCAACCTCGTACACCAAGACCCTCCCTCCCTCCCCCCCCCCCCCCCACACCCCCTTTCTCCCCCCCCAGTTACTCCTCGACACGGTTAAACACAATTCTCTCGCTGTCGCAAACTGAGCTCCTTCCCCCCACACCCCCCAATACACACCCACACACAATACACACCCACACAATAATACACACCCACACAATACACACCCACGCACACAATACACACCCACGCACACAATACACATCCACACACGATAATACACATCCACACACGATAATACACATCCACACACGATAATACACATCCACACACAATAATACACATCCACACACAATAATACACGTCCACACACAATAATACACGTCCACACACAATAATACACGTCCACACACAATAATACACGTCCACACACAGTAATACACATCCACACACAATAATACACATCCACACACAATAATACACATCCACACACAATAATACACATCCACACACAATAATACACATCCACACACAATAATACACATCCACACACAATAATACACATCCACACACAATAATACACGTCCACACACAATAATACACGTCCACACACAATAATACACGTCCACACACAATAATACACGTCCACACACACACACACAATAATAGAGTTCAACACACACTAACGCCAGTCGCCCATCATTGTTCACAGTGCGTGTTCATGTCTCCCATCTCCTTTTCTCCCACCACCACAAAGAGCCAAACAAATACAGTGTTCAATCAGCTTTCTGTCCCCCCCCCCACAAAACCAAAAAAAAGTCAATTAAACACACACACACAGACATATACCTAATAAATAGGTGACTGATACTTGTGTATTACACACACACACACACAGACACAGACACAGACTTGCTTAACACGGCTCATAACGCCAACAGAACAATCACAGGAACAGGCAGGAGATTGAACAAAACTGACAAGACGGGACCCGAGACATTTTTCACCCTCCCCTGTATATAACTATATCCTTGCATTCTTGTTGCACCCTTATATATATATATATATATATATATAGAGAGAGAGAGGGGCTCACACACTCTGATAAATACATGACCAGCAGTTACAGCATCCCTGTGGGGATGCTCTAGTGTTTTCTATATATAACTCGGCTACTATCTATTTTAAAATGTTTTTTTAAAAAAAATCTGAACAGGGGAGTGGGGGGGGGGGGGGAGCACTGGGAAAGGAAGGAGATGGAGTGAGAGGCGAGGTTGCAGACTCTGGTGCCCCTCAATGGTTAGCTTAGGTGTGTGTGTGTGTGTCTTTCTCTCTGACACCCAACCACCTGAAACACCTCCAGCTCATCACACTGGAAACCGACTTTACATCCCTTATTTTAAAAGAGAAAACATAGATGGCCCTCCGTACACCATGTGTGTGTGTGGGGGGGGAATGCATTTTTTTTGGAGGGAGGGAGGGAGAAACCCATCCACAGATTGTTAGTCAGTCAGTCAAACTAAACGTGACTTGTGTTTAGATGTGAAATTCACCGCGAGGGACAGTGTGAGAAGTGGCATTTGCTGCAAGATTTCCCCAAATCACTGAAGCACTGGGATGGGGACTTCATTGATTTCTCTCTCTCTCTCTCTCTCTCCCCCACACACATCATCTCTCTCTCTGTCTGTCTATCTCTCTCTCTCTCTTTCTCTCTCACCCCTTCCATATTGCACGGTTAGACCTTTCACCCTAATGTAAATAGAACACGTTAAACGATGATGAACGTGGTGACAAGACTCCCCACTGAGCACAAGTTACTGGACACGACTAACAGCGACAGAGTGAGTTTGGATAACACACCGACTGAGCCAAGTTTACACCCGACTGGAGCTCTCCAACGTAGGTTAACATCTCCATCTCTCGCCACCCTTCATCACAGAATGAAAACGCCTTCCTTTGGTTTTAAAACGAACCCTTTCCCCCCCCCCCCACACACACACAAAAAATAATATTAGGTTCGTGCGTTATAAAGAATCAACTTGCTTGCCCCATCTATTTATAACTCTTAGTCTGTCTGAACTAGTGTACACTTTGTTCGGATTTATTTAGATGTAACAGGAGAGTCTTTTGGTGATCCCCTCCCCACTCTTTATCTTTCTCTCTCTACTTAATTATCAAGACTACATCCAAAGCCATTAGAGCCCTGGACATCTCTCTCCACGTCCTCTCAATGCAGAGAGAGGAACTTTTACCACTATTGATGCATGAAGTCGTTTAAATAACTCCACAGTTTGTCTCACAGGGAGCCAAGCCCCCTCCCCAAAACCTATTCACACACACACACACAAGTTCAGCTGCCCGCAATCTCCACCAAATGCAGTTCGATAAGTACCAAAAAGGGGGCAGTTTATTCCTGGTACCATATCCATCACCTTTCGGGTTACCAGCCGAGATGTTTATAAAGGGGGTATGTTTATAAAGGGGGCCCAAGGTACAACAAGGGGGGGAAGAGAGAGGGAATCAGATGACCTTGGGTATGAAGATTTGGAGGACAATCTATTGGGGAGGAGGGGGGCAAATAATGAACACCTGTTCCCCCCTGAAGGACTCATTCACATCTCTAGATTGGAGTCGAGAAGGAACTGACCTTGTAAATCAATGCACAGAGCGAGTTACACGCACACACACTGTAATGCAGCTCAACTAATACAGCATTTCATCGCTTTGCTGTTGGGGAGTCGTGTCGAGACATTTAACAACATCAAAAGGCACCTCTCGGCGGGACACACCCGTGCATTGGGGAGAAAGGAAGGGATGAAGGAGGGGAGGGGGGGAGGGATGAAAGGAGGTGAAGGAGAAAGAGAATTTCACTCGAAAGTCCAATGCAAGTGATTGAACAGCCACCAACCAAACCAACAGACCCCAATCACTCTCATTGCGAACTAGTTCCACCTTAGGGTTGATTCCATTTATCCTTCTCTTCTTCCACTCTCTACATCTCCCTCCACCGCCCAAATTTTTATTTTTATTTTGCAAAAGCAAAACTCTTAAAAAGAGTTTAACACACACTATATCTATCCATCCACCCCCCCCACCCCCAGCCCCTCTTTCTCCTGCCTCTCTCGTCAATGTCCAACACACACACAAACACACACACACACACAACAATCTCCACCTCAGTCGCTCACAACTCGGGTGTTAAAAAATAGTATTGCTTAAAACTTCCTGCTTTGCAACTCCACTCGTCTTTTAAGAGGTGGAAATCAAGCTGAGTTGTTTGGTGGTGGGGAGAGAGAGGAGGAAGGAAGGAAGGATGATTGAGGCACTTGCTTTTATATTGCACACACACACACACAAAAATGTCTTTTCTTTTAAAAAAAGGAAAAAAAATCTATATATATATATATAATATAGATAGATAGATAGATAGTGGCGTCTGTCTGACCGAGAGAGACACTGACTTTGAAGTGCGACAGGTTGACTCCCAGCCCTTTAAAAAGAGAGAGAGAAAGAAAGGAAAGAAGGAGTCGGGGAGGAGAGGTAAAACATATTTCTGCTTATTATCCTGCAAAAAAAAAGGAAAGGCAAACCTGCTCTCTCTCAATATTTTTGCAGACATTAAGATGCACTTTTGCCTTTTTCTCCCCCCCCCCACCACCCACTCCTCCTCTTACCTTTCGCAGTGTCCTTGTTGAGGAACATGTTTTCCTGCCCAGGGTAAGTGGTCCTCGGTTTGGGGGGAGGTGTTGCATGCGGGAGGAAGGGATGTCAGCAAGCGGCACCGAGCATTTTGAGAGGAGAGAGAGAGAGAGAGAAAGAGGAAGGATGGGGAGGAGGAGGCGGACCTCTTGCGAGAAAGCTCCTCGTCCCTCCACACTTCCACACTCACTCGGTCCTACCCACCACCACCACCACAGTGCGCGCACACGCCTCCCGGAGGCGCGTTCACACACACACAGACTCTACACCCCCATCACCTGAAGCAATCAGCACCCCCCCTCCTCCCCCCAATGTGGGCAACCACCCACCTCCTTCCCTGAGACCACTGTCATTGCATTTTATCTCTATTTCTCTTAGGAGCAAATACCACCACAACACTCATCGCATTTCGTCTATTTCCAATGTGCACGAACCAACCAAAAGATATAACTGATTGCATCGTCTCTCTCTCTCTCACTCTCTCTCTCTCTCTCTCTCTCGGTCTCTCCTTTGCACAAGTGCATAATGCAATTCTAATTGCATTTTAGTTTTGATGTCTGTGGTACACGTACAAAGGCAAATCAGGCAATTCTCATTGTATTTTCACGTGATTTCAAAGTGTTTCGCAGGACGCACTGTATCATTTTACCCGAAGGAAATGACTTAAAGTGGATTTCAAGAGGCTTATTTGGGGACAGTGGAGTCAATTTCTGCTCTGGACACTTTTTCTTTTCTCTCTCTCCTGGAGTTAAACAGGAAATTGCTTTGAAACAGCAGCGTCACAGTTAAAGGGTAAAGGAAATGTACTGTGACTTATTATTCGATGTGTTCCTGACAATGTTTACTTTGTAATTATTATTTGGCAGTGATTGTGGTTTTTTTTATATAGCAGCTGCAGCCTCCTGGAGTCCTGACATGTCACTTCCTTTCTCTCTCTCTCTCTCTTCTCACACACTCTGGTGTGGGAGGGAGGGTGGTTCCATCCACAACAGTGGTGAACTGGGGTCTCAGGTGCAGACCCTGTGTCACCCCTCCCCACTAATCTTTAAATACCCTTATCCCCTCAGTATCGAAGCCCGGCTCAGTTGGTCACGCTCGCTCTCGCCTCCGAGTCGGAAGGTCAAAGCGTGCCCCATCGGGACTTTGAACTCAACAGTCCAGGCTGACACCGTAATACAGTGCTGGGGAGCGCTGCATTATTCAAAGCTTGAAAGCGCCTTTAGATGGATGAGATGTTAAATCAAATATTCCGTCTGCCTGTTCAGTTGGATGTTTAAGAGCCCATGGCACTATTCGAAAAGAGAAGCTAGTTTCTCCCAGTGTCCTGGCCAACAATCTCCCAGATAAAATCAGTCACTCACTTCACGGTAATGTGTGGAACATTGCTGTGCAAAAATTGGCTGCCCAGCTCACTACACTTTACAGAGAGACTTTGTGAAGCACTTTGAGATACTGCAACATTGCAGGTGCAAGCTTTATAAACTAAGCTAGGGAGATGTCTAATCACAGCTTGTTTTTTCTTATGGAGTCCTGTGGCGTAGTGGTTCGAGTGCTGGGATCACACCCAAGACCCAAGTTCGATTCCCAGGCAGGGCGAAACCTTGGCCGTTTCCTTATTCCACACAGCTCTGTTTACCTAACAGTAGGTAGGAACCCAATTGTTAGTCGATTGGTAGATCGCTTTCTGGGGTTAATAATCCCTTTTTTAAAAAAAATATGGTCACTCAATCTACGACTATTTGTGGGTCCCTGCTGTGCGGAATTGGCTGCCTCGTTTCACCCAAAAAAACGATCAATTCACTTTACAGTATACTCTGTGAAGCACTTTGAGACGTCTCAATGATGTGATAAGGCACTATCAAATGCAAGGATTATTATACTTTTTTCTACTCTTGTATCATTGATTATTTGCATGCTGTAAGTCTTGGCCCAGTTCAAAGATGTCCCGATCGTTTTAAAGAAAAGATACACCTCGGGTGCTAGATGTGATATTTATTCAATAGGCTGATCCGATCTGACCAAATACAGCTTCAGTCTGTACTTTGGACTTTTCCTTGGGCGAAATGTCAAATTCATAAATCTAGGAGAATCACTGCCGAAGGAAAGCCATTCCAGCTTTGGTATCTACCGTTTGATGTCATAACACCAGAGGCCGACATTTTCACCAAGGTTTCACCGCCTGAGGCAATCCTAGTCTTGAAGTTTAAGATAATGCAGAATTGTGGAAATAGCTTAAATTAATTCTAATTTTCGAAGCCAGTATTTCCGCAGTTGTTAAAAAAGAAACTGGCTTCCAAAGTAAGATTTGTTCAACACAAATCTTCAACGTTAAGGTAAAATGGCCTCACTTAATGGAATTTTAAGATCTCAAATCAGCACAGAGTAAAGTTCCCACAACCCGCCCACAGACATTGCCCCGCATGAAGGGTGCTACATAAATACAAGTTGTTGTTGTTCATCTTTGCCTACAAATACACAGTTAGCACTTTGCAGTAAATCCTGTGAAGCGCTTTGAGATACTGTATCAAATGCAAGGATTATTATTGTTTTCAATTCTTTTATTGGCCAGCTGGGATCTGATACATGGACACCCTCTGGTCATGCTTGTTGAAGTTGAACTTGGCAGGTTTGGAGTCAAGAGTGGTGCAAGGAAGAAATATACTCCACTTTTTGGTGCTATGAGCACACAGGTTCTGAGCAGTCAAGTGATTAGGGACCTCAAATATTCAGTGAATATGTTTCTAGGCCATGTCTTCAGGTATACATTAAATCCCATTGGCACTACTGGATAAAAGAAGGGAATCCTGAAGTGTTTGGAGACATCCTCCCGATGTGAAAGACATGAATCAAATGTTAGGATTATTCCGGATGAACTCAAACCACTTCTATTGACGTCTCTATGTCAATGTACTTTACTTATTTGTTATCTTATATACCTATGACAAAACGAGTAGGTGACCCTATGGTGGGAAATACTGAACATGAAACTAAGATCCCAGCAAAAATGAAAAACAAACTTATAGATTTGCTCTTGCAATGTTCTCTCCTGAAAGTATTTGTCTTTCATTTCATTCTCCAGAAGTACAGTTCCAGAGTCTTGCAAAAATCTTGTCTAAGTGGCTAATATTCATGAATACTGAACTGAGTTGACAGTCTATTAGACTGGATGACGTCACAGCTGAGCCCAACACCGTCCTCACCTGGTGCACACACTAGCGCGCGCACACACACACACTGTTGTCACCTGGCAAAGCCACACGCACATACACACACAAATCTCCAGTAGAGGTCACTGGATAGCAATCAGGAGCAGAAACCTTGCTGATTTTCTTCTCCCTTACGTTTGGAGCCCCTTTCCCTGCACAGGCTGAAATCAGCTATCTCAGCACATAGTGATCAAACCTGGGACACTGCTGTGCATAATTCAGCCACTCACTGAGTAAACTCAATGCGAAGGAAACCAATATCAAATTCATGTGACACAAGTGGGAATTGCCGGTGTGTGGTGCATTGTCAGAGGTGCTGTCTTTTGAACGAGATGTTACAACTAGGTTCTGTCTGTTCATTAATTTGGATGTTAAAGATTTCATGGTTCTGTGAGAAAGAGAGAGGATTTCTCCCAGTTGTTCTCACCAACAAACTCCAGGATAAAATTGGTCATTCACTTTAAAGCTGTTTGTGGGACACTTCTGTGCACCAATTGGCTGTGACATTCACCTACAAAGGACACAGTCACTGCACTCCACAGTAAATCCTGTGAAACGCTTTGAGGTATTTGACAATGTGATAAGAAGTTATATTAAATGGAATGATTATTAAATCTCTCTCATGTCTAAACTGAATTAGGAATACAACTAAGTAGAGGAAAGTAAGTGAAATCTCATGTTATTTTCTATGTGAGTACGAACACATAGGTGGTTTTCCGAAATTACAGACTTTGTTCGAACTTAAACGACTAACATTTCCTTATCACTCTAGTGTATTTTCGAACATAAAGTTGATGACTCTACATATATAATGTCAAAATGTGCACAATGTCTTGTACAGATTCAAGATCGCCTCCTTTATATACAAACCCAGTGTTGTTGCTTTTATGGCTTTTTTCATCCCACCCAAGTGACCAATTAGGCAACCTGGTAAATAACACAATGACTGTCCTGCCCCATCTCCCCACTTCATGCTGTCTCCTCTAGCCCCCATTGTCTCCATGCCTGTGGGCTGACTATTCCCGCTAATATCTTTGCCTCCAGTCTTGTAGTGCGCATTTTGGCTGGAGTTCTCAACCCGAGCTGCTTTCCCCCAAAATGCCCCCACAGTAGTAATGGAGCTGAAGTTATAGCCAGTTGAAAGAACACATTCCCTGAAGCACTCTAGATTAATAATTGTTTTTACTGGTGGAAGTGGAGTTTCCTTGCATTGGCAAGTGCTGTAATTACCAACTAGTTCCTCCAATAATGCCATCAGTATCCACACAAAAGTAATCCAGAAATAGGCAGAGCACAAAGGGACGCTCTCTATTCAATTGTTGAAGAGACAACTCTTAGATTAGTAACTAGCACAGGAGAACATCTGTCTCTGCAGGCCATAGCACTCACACACCACTGGGTAAAAGTTCTGTTAAGCATCATGCGTTGCATCTTTGATGATGTGCGTTTACATTTCTCCCGGTGTCCTGTGCATCATCACCTTGTGTGCAAATTAGCTGCCGTGTTCGCCAACAACACAGACAGTCACTGCACTTTACAGAATATCCTGTGAGGAACCTTGAGATGTCTTCCTGGCATGAAAAATGCTGTATCAAATGTAAGGGTTATTTTTATTGTTGATGCTTAATATAGAATTCTGACTGCCAGTTCTTCACAGATATAAACAGGAAATGAAATGTCTGGATTTTATTTTGCATTGGTCCATTTCTTTCACATCTGAACTTCACACTGAGCTAAAGAGGGAGGGAGGGAGGGAGGGAGGTGGATGAATTTAGGGGATTGCCCGCCTCAATGAGATTGATATGATTTTCAATGATTTTTCAGCAGCCGAAAGAAAATATCACTTCACAATGTGTGATCACGCCTTCGTGCTCAGTCGCTGTCTTGCC